AAGAAAAGGAGGATCTTATACCCTGATAGCAAAAAGAAGCTTTAGGGGCAGCGGGAATGGTTGGAAGTTAACATTTCTTGAATTCCCAATGCAAACTTAGAGCAAAGGGTAAATGCTTTTGCTGATGCAGCTGCTGAGGTGATAGTTACAGTCACAGAGACTATTTACTAGTCTTGACTAGGTACTTTTGAGGACAAAAGGGAGGGTGGGACTCTTCCACAATGAAGTGGAACAGAAAACGTTAGGAGCTCTTCCATTACTCACCTTTGCTAGATGGAGAGTTTGAAGAATATTAATATTTGACATACAATTGTCACATGAACACAAAATCAGCTTTAACTGTACCCACCCAACCCTGTAGCTCCTGCCTGTTTCTGCACTGTATCAGTGTGTGGCCTGAGCTTTTTATGGGTAGAGGAGGGGAGAACAGTAATGGCTGTGGCTGTACTCTGACTCTATGGACGGATCTATCTTCCTGGGGGTCAGTGGACTTGTTGTGGTGCTCAGAGCCAGGTCAAATGCTGTACCATAACATTCTTGACCTGACTTGATGAACCTGCAGTATGTAACTAGCTTTAAACTGAGGAATAGAATTAGGGGGTTTTCCTTGTTTGCTTTCTGGTCTGGTGTATTGTGGTTTTGTGTTTTAAGGTTTTTTTTGTAAATCTTCATAAATTATATTGTAACTCTTGGGTTGAAGTAAGGCAGCTGGATGCTTTCAAACCTATCTGTGTCCTGGTTAGATGTTGAATTAGCTCTGGGTATGGGAAACTAGAGTGCGAAGGCAGGAGACAAAAGCAAAGCCTTGCAAAGAAAAGCCTTTTTAAAAAAAAAAAAAAAAAAAGACAAACAAAACACAAGAGCATATGCACACAAAACCACCACAACCTGATTTCAGTTAATGATACTTGTTGCATATTATGAGCTTGTCTTTTAAAATTACCTTTTCTCAAAGTAATATCAGTAAGACACATGCTTTCAAAAAAAAAAAAATCAGGTATCCGCTTTTGATATTACAATTTCACAGATTTGACTTCATAGTTAACTACAGTTGTGTGGCTGAAGGAGGAGGGGACTATTTAGGGCAAGAGTTGTTCTGTGTGAAGCTTTTTGTTTTGTTTTACCATCTCTGCAAGAGAGGGAAATTGCCATACCAGTCCCATTGCCACCTAGTTAAGTGTGTAGTGGCAGCCACTTTCATGTTGTTCCTAAAAGTAAAATGAAAGATGCTGTGAGTCCAAAAGCATATAAAATACTATGATGACCTGAAATATGAATAGATAGCAGGGGTATTTCCCCAATAACACCTGTGAACCAAATAATTTTTATTTTATTCTTCCCCGTTTATTTCTTTTACATCACGGTAAACTGTACACCAGCTTCTCTTGCAGTCCAGTTTCTTGTATACTATACTTGATTGCTTATTTGATACATACTCCCTTCTGAATCGGTTCTGGTTTCTAACTTACTGTAACAGTAATCTTACTGACAGTCACTCCTGTCAGCTCAGCCTTTAGCTGTTGAGCAGCCTTACTTTATTCCCTGTGCTCAAAGCAAGCTGAGGATGTAACGCATGTATGTGACTGCTGTATGCCCAGTGCACTGCAATGCCCAGAGCATCTTACAAAATTATCAGCAACCGAGCAGGCCCACAGTGCTGGTATACCCTGGTATTTTCTCCTTACTGTTTGCAAGATGCACTTAACCGAGATAAACACTTGGCCACCTGCAGTGAACACTACAAAACAAAAGTCAATCTGTCTTTTCTGCACGAATCCTATCAAGCTCACATGAATTTTGTCACTGAAGCAGAAAACGCTATTCTTCGCATGAAAGAAATGAAAGCTGACCAACTTAATGACTAGTCCAGAAAGGAGAAAAACAAAGGCTGGAGCACTAGAAGTGGTTTACAGCACAGGGAGGAGGAGCAGGAAAAAGATGAATGTTTTTAATGGAGGAAATGTCATCATCAGAATAAATTGTCAGTGAAGTGCATCACTGATTCAATCTGCCTAGCTGTCATAAGCTCCACAGACAGTCTATCGAGCACTACAGAAATGATACATACATTCTCAAGGTCTTATTGTATGAGACGGATGAAGTCAGCTGAGCAGTAAAATATGGGTACTGAGCTGTGTTAACTTCACTGGTGAAGCTGAGAGCCACACCACAAGTCTCTTACCAGAGCTAGCAGTGTGGTATTTCTGCCTTAATGAAAATCCAGAGGTCTAACAGGTTCCTTTCCAAAGAAGAATGAAAAGGCAAAATACCCATTTTTCATGAAATGAAGTATTACATAGCCTAGAGAAGGGATGTGGCGAGTGGAAGGAAAGCTGTTCTTTGCTCTCAAGCACTTACAAGCTATTGCAAAAAGTAAGTAATACTTTCTTCTTGTGTCTGTGCAGAATAAAACAAGTAATTAGGAGCTTAATTTTAATTAGGCTAAGACCTCAGGAGCCTCTTTTAAGTTAAGAAGAGGAAAGAATAATTGGAAAGTTTATGGAGCCTCCATCACTGGAGGGCTGTAAGAACAGGTTAAGCAAATGCCAGTCGGGAATGGCTGAAGTACAGGTGATTCTTGAAATGGGAGGAAAAGCCTCTTGAGACAATTTAGCACAACCTTACTTTCTTTTTATGTCAGCCTTGCTGAAACATTTTATTCTTGATTACATTTCATTTTAAAGCTCAGAAGTGTTTGAGAGGGATGGAAGTTGTTTCTTTATGTATATGTAAATACCGTATCATCTACCATATTACCATTAATTTACCAGATTTACCATATAAATTGTGGTAATTAGTTTAGATATCTATAATTACAGAAAAAGACATTTACTAATTGCCTGTTCTAATTATGTTCTCAGGAAGTGTTCAGATGCTGATCTTCCAGGGTGGCAGATCTTTGTTAATATGAAACACCAGTCAATTTCAACTTAATTTTGCATGGCAAGACTAGGCCTAGCTTCACAAAAGTGAGTAGTTATTAGGAACCCAACCTGAAGTGCTTATGTTTGAAGAATGAAGTTGCTAAGTACTGTGCCACCCATAGGCTAATAACTGAAAGTTAGACACCTTTGACCTACAGATCTAGAGGAGTGAATCCAGTCATCCACTCTGTCACCTTAATGGTGGAATCTACAGTGGAGCTGGAAAAGTGACTTCCCAATGGAATGAGATGATGTCATAGGTTTGCAAGCTCTGTTTCTAGGACTGCATCTGCTTTAAACCTTCAGTTTTTGAATAGGATGTGTTGGAAAGAGGATCATTTAAGATACATGTTTGAACTACTTGGCTATGACAGTTTTCCAAGGGTGATACTGTTTTTCTCAGTGTCTCATAAATACATTTGTAAAACTAATTTTTTTTTCAGTAAATGTATCTTAGTGTTGTTAATACCCTCCTCTAGGAGCCTATTACTTCTTGATGGATGTGAGCTTTATTGTTAAATACAAACTCTGTTTTAAGAGAAAGGAGTGAAACTGCATTGCTTTGGTAGGGAGTGGAGAAAGGAGAAATCCTTTGCTCTCTCAACTGATGGAGGGCTTTGGAGCTGCTGAGTGACACTGCAGCACCACTTTGCCTCTCTGCTGGGCAAATAAGATCTTGCAAGGCATCTTGGCAAAGAAGCTGGCTTAAAGCCGAAGCTTGATCAAAGAACCTGTCTTCTGGTATTTTTAAGTGATTTATGTCTCACTCAAGAGGAGGACAAGTAAGCATTTTCAGTTGTGATGGCTGGTCACAAAACTTGGCTGGAAGATAAGAAATGCTACTTTTCCTCATGCTAGAAGGTTTCTGCTCTACCCAGTAGCCTTGCATCTGGTTTTCCAAAGCAAAGTCCCACACTGAGGCAGTGTAGCCTTCAAGCCACTTAAGTTACAAATCTCTCTTCAGTTTACTATTTTTCTAGAGCAGGGAGCTGGTGGTGCAGTATACATCACAAGAGCTCCTGCACAGTAAGAGAGTGTAGTACTAACTATGAGTTTGAGACTGGTAGATGCCACTGCAGAAAGGAGGGCTCTGTGCCCAGTGCATGTTTTGCAGTGTGGAAGCTCTAAATTCATTCCCCAGGTCAGAAACATGCTGTTAGTGCCATGCTGCCTTTTGGGAAATGCTTTTTCATAATTAAAACTAGGTTTCTTGCTGAGAAACCCTTGACTTTTTGTACAGTGGATTGAACTAAACTTCATCTTGTCACTGAGTTAATGTATTAAGAAATCCCATGTAAAGTATCTGGTGTGCAACTGGTGCTGGCCAGCCTGTTCTTACTCTGTGCTGGTCTAAATTGCCACACAGGAGAAGCAGAGGTGTAACAAAACCCTCTGCCCCCTAGGGACTAGGGCCCTTGGGAAACAGCACATAATTTTCTCCATTCTAAGTAACTGCAAAGGTAGGTCCACACTATATTGTCAAAGGTGAATGGCAGGCTCAAAGATGGACACTGTATTTTGCAAGAAGATGGCTGTTCAGCTGGGTTCCTGGGTATGAGGGGGGGGGGAAAAAACCCACCTCCCAGTACCCCAAACAGCTTTATAGCACAGGAGGCAGTGTAATGAGTCAAGTACCAGCTGAAAGTGAGCCAGGAGACATTAAGTGCTGTTGTCTAGATGCACCCATGCAAGCATCACATACTATAGCTCAGCAGGTAAATCTATCAGATTAACACAGACTCATGCATGGCACAGCAAGATCCCTGACAGAATCTGTCAAATTCCAGTTAAATTTGGTGAGATACAGGGATTTTTTTATATGTGGGTTGTTTTTTTTTTTTTTTTTAATGACGCAACTCCTAAGGCAAATATTTTTGAGGACCTCTTTTTTTTAGTGAAAAGCTTGGATTTCATCTTCAGGCTAATGCCAGCTGCTGACCTGAGATACCATACCACAGCCAGATTTAGTAACATCTCATGGCACAGAAAGGTCTGGTTGTACCTTATATCACAACTGAAGTTGTTTTAAAGAAGTTGAGAAAATATATGGATTGAGTTGAAACAGTAAGAACCAGATGTATCAAAACACAATTTATTCTTAAGATGGCTTCTTTACATATAACAGCAAGGGTTATGTAAGGAAAAAGTGCAGTTAGTGGAGAAGGCTTATTTCACCTTAGTATTTATCATCTCGCTGCATTGCAAGTAGCTTCAGACTCAAGATATTGTACTTCTTAGCAATGGGCAAAAATGTGATTTAGGTTTTGATGTTAACACCATTTCTGTACAGCTAAAAGGTGTGCCAGTATTCACGCCTGCCAAGTATGTACTGGACAATTTCTCACACAAATCTTGAATGAAACACAGATCAGCTTTACAGTTTGACAGCTCAGCTAAATTATAAGCATACAGATACAAAATATACATTAGTTTACTGAAGTCTAAAAAAAACTTCAGAAAATGAGGTACAATAAAACAGAGCAGTTTTCTACTTATGTGCAAGCCTATATTCAGTCTAGAAAAAACTAGCAATCCTGCTCTTTTAAAGAAAACAGCTTTCACAAAGTGCAGCCAATTCACTGTCTTCAATATGAAGGACCTTGCCTCTGGTAGACACTTGTGAAACATCATTGCTAACGGCAGTAGGGAGCAGGATACTCAACCATCGGATGCTGTAAGATTAGACCAGGTGATGAGTCAAATCATCTAATGCTGCTATGGACTAGGAAGTTTACAAATCACTTAGTCTCTTTTGTCATTTAACCCTATTTTTGGTGTGGAGAGTGGTTTTACTTTTTTTTTTTTTTTACAAGGCACGTCTTTCTTTTAACATTAAAAGGTAACCATCTGCCTGTTAAGTGAGTAGGATGAAGAAGTCAAGGTTAGATTTGTCTTCAAATGCAAGACATTCATTATTCACAAAGCCAACGAGGACAGAAATGTCTTCCCAAAGCAGTCGCTGCTTCTGATACTCTCTGCACTCTTTTCTGTATTCTCCTTTTTATCCCATGAAACTTTCTCTGGGATTTGGAAGATCATCTTTGGAAAGAAAAAATTAGAACACTCTACATCTCCAAGTTACACAGCACATCCTACTACTTCCCCTTCTCCCACTTTTCCATTATCCTCTCTGAGTTTAACCTGTATTGAAGCCACAAATCCTACCTGCCTCTGCTACAAGCACACAGAGGGTCATAGCAAGCCTCTGTCCTGACAGCATCACTTCACCTCTACTGCACTCCTAATGGGTGCAAAGTGAATTGTGATGTTCTGTTCATGTAATGTTCCTGTGCACACACACGCACTCACACATGCAGTTACTACAGCTTGCTAAGATACAAATTGCTTTCCATACTTCCTCACAAGAATGTCTCTCATACTGACTCAGGAGAGCCAATAGCAGAAAGCAAGCAGCATATACTTTAGATATAGCCATGCTATTTCTATAGTGGATGGCATATACATGGGTTTTATCTTGGTTTTCTTTCTTTCCAAGGATAAGTTCTGGCTAAGAACTTCAGTAGCATAATATGGTTTAACAAGTCCCATGGACTAGTGAATCTGGATTTGTTCAGCCAGCCAACAAAACCTGTCTGGTGGTTTTGTGTAGTATGTGAACCAGAAAACTAACACTGTTCTGTTGCCAAATGGAAGAATGCTTCCTTGCTAGTATTGATCACCAATATGGTGATGAATTTTCAATCTGACCCAAGCTTTGCCACCGGGGAAAGAGACCACTGGACAGCCTCGGACTGCCTAGTTGATCAGGCTCTCTTTCTTGTCCTCTCCTTGAAGTCTGAAGATCTACACAGTCTTTCCTGGCAGGTGGTATCTGAACACCATCAGGTTTCCACTCTGTGTGGAGAATCTTGTAATTCTGACCCTCATTATTGTCCCAGAAGGTATGTTCTCCACTTTGGTAAGAAATGCAAAACTCTATCTTCTCTTCAGAGGAAATGGAAGGAGGAAAGTCAATGGTAAATGAGAAGGTATCATTTTCGGAATCGCTGTAAACATTGTTCATGTACACACACTCAACGTCTGTGTAGGTCTTCCATGTATCAAAGGTAATTCGAACCTGAACCTTTTTCTCAAAGCTCACGTTTTTTACTTTCACAGTGCCTGACAGCACTTTCTCTTGCAAGGTACAGTTCTCCAGACAGACCAAGGTCTTCTGCAGGCGGTTCCTGAAGTCCAGGTAGTCAGCTGAGGGCCGAGGGAAACCCAGAATCAAGTTTTTCTCCTCATGTAGCTTTAAGCCAGATGTTATGTTTTCAAGGCCTAAGAGGTCAAACTGAAGATCCCACCCAGGGTGCTCCTGGAACTCAGAGAAGGTGTGTATCGCTGTCAGGGACAGCCCCTTCGAGTCTGCAAACACAACTCGCTTCTTGGCTCGGGCCGAGTGGTTCCAGTCGCCGTTCTGAACTTCAGAGTCGCGTTTCACATGAAGACATGGTCTGAGAGGTTTGAATCTGTTCACAAAGTTGTTTCTTTGACAGTCCTCAAGGGGGCTGAGAAAACTCTTCAGCGGTGGAGAATGGGCTAAGCAAATTCTCATGGCCATGTCCACGGGCATGATGGTGCTTGGCAAGGGCCTTGGGTCTAAGATCTGTATCATTCTGAAAGGAGCAGAAAGACAGGACGTTATTTGTTACATCAGGTAAGAAGCTTCTTAAGAATGCATATTTGCTTCGTTCGCTGTCTTAATTATTCATGGCCTCCTCTTTGCATGGCTTTAAATAATGCAGCCTAAATTAAAACTGACAGTTCAAGCTAAGGAACTAGGATGAAACCATTCAGTCATTTCCTGCTAATTCTGAACTCTTTCAATTCAAACATAGTCTCATTTGCTTTTTCTGAACCTCTGAAAAATAGATTTTAGTGACAGTTAATTAAACACATTTCATTGAAAATACATAGAAGATCATCCCAGTAACCAGTAAAATGGATCCAGTTACAGTGGATGTGCTCATCCACTTCAGCTTCCCTTTCAGAGACGCTGAGCCAGGTCTTAAAATTCCAGCAAGCCTGATCAGCTGCTCCATCTCTGAGTAGACACAGCACTATATTAAGCAAGTCATCTATCCCATCAGAGCATCAAATGGGATACTATGTACCTTGATGCAGAACCATCATGCTGTGGCTCTGAACAACCATAAGTGCATTTGTTAGGCACTCTGGCCTTGTTAATTCAGATAAATAAAAATGCTAAAGCACCTTTGGAAATGTTTTCTATGAGCTATTAACCCATGTCTAGGTAATGGAGCTCTTTTGCACTGTCAATGTTATCTGCTGAGTGAAGAGGAAAAAAAAAGGGGGGGGGGGGGGGGAGAGGGACACACTTTATTTCTTTATTTTTTTCCACCTCATCATGCTTATAAACATCATCTAATAACCTCCAAAGTCCAGGCCAAAACTCTACTGCAAGTATTCAATAAAAATCATACAGCTTTATTTTAAAGACTTATTCATAACCCTACCTCAGATGATGAAAATCACAATTACTATGCAAGAAAAAGGCCCATTCAATGCCAGTTAGCTTGAATATTTGTAAAATGGGGCTTCAACTGCTGCACAGATCTTTTGAGAAGGATGCAGTCCTTGCTCAAAATGTGGATTTTTGTTGAGTCATGGGAAACCAAAGCATTTGCTTTGTCACTTAGATAAATGGTTTTCTCCTTCCCAGGGTTCTCACTGCTATTCCAGAGCCCTGCCAAAAAAAGCAGAATCTGTGCTGGCCTCTTAATTCTTCTCCTTTTCTTTTTTTTTTATTGTGGCAGTACTTGCCATAATAAGTAGGACAAGGAGAGTACCAGCATCAAATCAATCAAGTTTTGCTTTGCTTTAATAGGAAAAGAACGAAGGCTTCAAATAATGCTCTCTCAGTAACTTCTGTGACCAGCTTCTGAGGCAAAGGCTCCTAAGCTTTCGCAGTACCACAAAAAGGGGGACCCCAAGCATCAAAAAACAACCAACCAGGAAAAAAAAAAAAAAAAAAAAAAAAAGAAAAAAAATCGGCAACACGGCAACACAACCTGAAAAAGGCAGGCTGCTAGAAGAGGCAAAAATTAACTGCCAGCAAAAGACGTGGTGGGTTCAGCACTACACAAGCATAAGGACGCGTTTGCAGGACCTATAAAACCGGAGGAGGGGAGGCGAGCCGTGCGAGCTGGAGCTTTCTGTCCCCCCGTGGCTGCTGTTCCCGCGGGGGCGGAGGAGGGCGCCCAGGAAGCAGGCAGACCCAGCGGGGCAGGGCGCGGGCTCGGGCGCTTACCTGCTGCAGTGCATGGGGCCGCGCAGCCGCCTCCTGCTCCCGGGGCCGCTCCGCGCCGCGCCCGCGCCGCCGCCGCCTTTATGGGCCCTTCCCGCGGCGGGCGGCCAAGGGGCGGCCCCGCTCCGGCGGGGGGGCGGCGGCCGCCGCCGCTTCACGTGTCCCGGTCGTGCGGCGGCGGCTGGCCCGGCTGCGGAGCCGCCCCCCGCCCGGGGGCACCGCGGGTTCCTTTTTCCTTTTTTTTTTTTTTTTTTTTTTTTTTTTTCTCCGCTTTTTCCTCCCCCCCTCTCCCCCTGTTTTGCTGCAAGTGTTTCGAAGTGGGAGCCAAGCAGCCCTATCCCTGGCAGGAATTAGCCTGCCTGACCAGGGTAGCAGGGAGCTACGGTGTTGCAGGAGCCTGCTCCAAAACTGCGCCTTGCTTTCCTGTCCTCCTTTGGAGAGGCCGGAGACAAGCCCCTACCAGAGCAGCGGGGAAGGCAGGCAGGCGTTTCAAACTGGGTTTGCTCAAACCCCCGCCTTTTCAAGCAGCCAGGCAGGGATTTGCTATATGGGATTCCCGTGTGAAGTGGATATTGGTTCAAATGTCAAAGAAGGGGTTCTTTAGTGCTAAAGAATGTTACCTAGCGGAATGAAAGAAATACCCAGTTGTAATTATAGACTGACAGCTTCTTTGAACAGAAGCAGGAGCCCTACATTGTAAGATAATGTTGCCAGGGCCAGAAATCTGTAGTCCTGGAATATAACTGTCCTTGTCCTCCGTGGAAAAGTACTTTTGGATGTTTAATTTGAATGGTGCTGTTGGCTTTTCACCTCCCACACATAGTGATGTGTGCACTGTCTGAGGATGTGATAGGCCTTGCGATAGTTCCCACGTTGTATCTATTGCCTGTTTCTAGAGCAAAGGGGGAAAAACTGGTATAACAGCCTCCACAGCATCGGCCATAGCAATGTCTTGTGTCCTGCCTCCCAGAAGGCCCCACGCTCGGGATCCACAGGGCTGACAAGCCCCTGCAGATGCTGGAGGGGTGGACAGCCCATGGGTAGCAGTGTGCTGTCTTCTCTAGGCTGTGAGTTGTCCAGAGAAGGTCCACTCCCAAGTTACTGCTCTTCAAAGAGTATGCCCTGGCTGCTAACTGGCTTATGTGGGTTTTCTGTGGATCTACAGTTTCACTGTCACCTTCTTGCTGGCCCATCTGCACTTTCCCAAGGGCAACAGATGACTTGCAGTCACCCCATAACATGTGACAGGGAGACTCTGGACTGTAATTTTCTGAGTTCGTAGTTTTTACCAGTAGATGAGACCATGAACAAATGAATAGCAGGGGGTCCTGTGCTCTACATGAAGCAAAGGGAGGCTTACAGTGATTAACAGATAATATAGGATTTTTCTGGCTCACACAGATTATTTTTCTGTTCTTGGTTTGGGAGAAAAAAAAAAAATTAGAAGCTCCACTGCTCTGTGTGACAGTTTATTAGGAGATAGTGTGTGAGCATGGCAGGTGGTGACAAGAACACCTCCGTTTTGGATTCAAGCTTACATAGAAGTGGAGAGAAAAAAGAGTCATGAAAGGGCTGGAGAGGGAAGGCTTCTACTGACTGACACGTGGCACATGGATCAGTACACTGTCTCTGTACGTATAATGAGAGTATTCATAGGACAGTAAGACTTCAGTTTCTTAGCTCAGGCCCTTGGTGACTGAAGTTCCTGCCTTTCCTGCTAGTATGTGACACTTAGTTTCACACAGATGAAGCCTGAAGCACTAACTGGCAGTGCAGTCAAGGTTTTGGAAAGTACTGCTCTGTTCCCTGGCATCAGTTATTCAGGATGACCTTCCCCGATCTTCCGCTTCTCAAGTCGCATCCCTGCTGCTCACATCCTCTTCCTCTCCTTTCCCTTCTCAGTCTTTCTTATCTCTTGGTGACTGCCAGCTCCCTCTCAAAAGTAGATGTTATTTTCTCATCGTTTGCCTAGGGAAAGTGCTAGAAAACTGTACCAGTGCTCTGGAAGCATTGATAGTTGCAAGGCGTTCATTTCTGTTTAGGAAGAGCTACAAATACTTTCAGCCCTAGCTGCCTGCCTGGCAGCAGTAAGCAGGGCCCGCTATCCCCCACAGGTATAAGGGAGGATTGGGCACATGGTTGGCACTTACCAAATCTCTATTTACCCATTATAAAACATGAGTGAATAACTCTGACAAGCCTGTGCCACTGGAATCTTTATCCATGCAGCTTTCCCCCCAGCTCCTCTTAGCTGAGCTGCTGCGTTATCGGGGAACACATGCAGCATCTGGGGCTGCTGTATCACCCTACCTATATGCAGGCATTGAGTAAGACCTGGGAAATTATTTTATTCCATGCTCAAAGCCTGCACAAAAGGAGTCACCTCAAGGCTTTGCTACATATTTCTGCTACTATGTAGTAGCTCATTGCACTTTTGCTGCTATAAAACATTTTGTTCCTGTTGTGTTAAAATGTTTTGCCCAACTTAGAAAACATCCTGAAAGATTATTTAAGGTGATAGGCTTAACAAAAAACAGTAGTGAGATACAGAGCCTTTCACGGGCAGAGCATTGCCCAAGTCAGTAAATATGGACTGAATACAGCAACTTCATGCCTACTTGGTAACCTGGAGAACGTTCATGGCCGTGGACTGGTGTCCCAGCTTCCGGTTGCCAATACAAGCAGAGCGCATTGTGCAGAGCCAGGGTAACTCTTTCCTCACGCAAGGAGATGTCTCTGCATGAGGGCAAACCAGTAGGGTTATCTGAGGTAGCACAGCAGTTTGCACTGTCAATGATGGTTCCCTAGCTAAGCTTTTTACAGGACTCAGGTTTCCAGTTATTTTGGTTTGACAGCTCTCCTGTCATCAGCAGCTTAAAATGTAGATCTGTCTGTCTTACCTTTCAACTAGGGCTGCTAAAATGGGAGCACTGGAGAAAAAAAAAGAATCATTGTCTTACCATGCATTTGACAGCACTTTGTGGCATATCAGCTTTCTTGACATTTGTAGGTGCACATCGAAGCAATGGCAGAAATGTGCGTCTGGAAGGGGCAGGGTTCTTTATAAAATCAAGCCCTGTCACTGGGGGTTGTACCTCCAACTGCTTCTGTAACAGGGAAACCCAAATTGACCACCTAGACTAGTTCTTTTTTTGAAAACACTGCACTTTACGTGTAAGAAGCTAATTGTAACAAGTTCGCTATAGTAAATACAGTTTTAGTATAGTCACCATAGTTTGGTAAACTTTAAATGCATATTTTTAAAGATAGTTTGCAGCCTAGATGATCTGGAGGCAATGTAAGGCACAGGCTCACTTTGCAAGGAGTTCACTGAGGTTGCTCGGTGACAAGCAGGCAATTGGGTTCACGCTGTTCTGTTCAAAGACAAATATATGGTACTAGCTCCACAGTGAATGCTTTTATATGTGGACAGCCCTCCAAGTCTCTCTGTTCTTCACCTGTCTGAACTAACCAATCCTTTTCAATCAGCAGCTCTGTGAGCAGATAATGAGTGATTGTGCCTTTCTGTCAACTATTGGGCAGCTTTGGTCATTTGTTGGCTCTGGTCATTTTATGGCAGAGTAGAATGAAAGAGCTTCTTTTTTCAGTCTGTGTTCTGAAATTGAGTAATTAAGCAAGGTTTCTGTGGTTTACTCTGACTTTATTACTTTCAGGTCACTGTGCTTCTCTGCTGTCCTCCCCCCACAGCTCCAGGAGGGAAGAAAGGCATTATGTTGCAGTTCAGGATACAGAAAGAGTTGAGTGGCCTTTGGCATTTAATTGAAGCCTTTCGAAGCAAAGATAAGCAAGCATTTCCTTAGAGCAAAGTGAAGTCATGACCACATTTAGGAAAAAAAGACCAGAGAGAAAAAAATACAAATCTCCATTTCACTTGCATAGTAATGCATTCCCTGAAAAATTGTTGCTGTTTGCACAGTGGGAGAGCAATGCTAGCTCAATGCAGTTATAGTATGCAATCTAACAGAGAAGTTTTTTATTTGGGCTTGACGCTAGACTCAATTGCTAGGCCAAAGGCAAAACACTGGGGTTACTAGAAAACAGAAAATATCCACCTTCTTTCAGCTGTCACATATTTGGTTCCTGCAGCATCACTCAACACCTGTGAATGAAGCAGAGATTTCATGAAAGAATATCTGTGATATTAGACAGACATGGCCCATTAGGTCAGGGGACAGTGCTGTCACACAAGGATTACAACAGCTTTTTTATTTTTTTTTTTTCTTGAATTGAGTTGTTCTGTTCAATATTTGCTCTCTGCTACTAAGACTAGTCTTTGTAAACATCTATTATCTATGAAGCTGGACAGCAGGTTTCTACGAGTGTGACTGTGATGCAAATAGTGTAGGTACATAGCAAGGCTAGTGAAGTCCAAACTGAGTTGAGCCTGTAAGCCTTTGAAAATTTAAAATCGGTGATTTATCCAATAAAATACAGTGAGCAGAAGTCTTACTTAGTCTTAAGAGAAGGTTATTTTCTTTACTTGCTTCTCAGAGCCCTTCAGTGAACTTCGAAAATTCCTAGTGGTTACAAACATATACTAAGGAAACTTGTCCTAGGAAACTCTGTTGTTTAAGTGATTTCTTCAGGACTAGCACTGTCCATGTGAGGAATAAATAAGTTTTTGATCTTTTTTTTTGAATTTTTATTATCCTATTCCTCATGGTTCAATCAGACCTAACACGCTCCAGCTTTTGGGACCCCCTCACCAAGACGACATCAGTAACTTGTGACCACTTTTTAACAGGCAAATCACAGAAAGTCTGGAAAAAAGTATGCCAAGCCCCACAAAACTCTTTATCCTGACGATACTGATATGTTTTGGAAGACTTCGAGAGCATTTTTTGTTGGTATCATTCAGGATGAAATTGCTGCTAAACCACGTTTGTTTGGAATATGTTGATTTTGGAATAAACTTTAAATTTTGAAAGAAAGAAAGTAAAAATAAACATTTCAAAAAGACAAAATGACATAAAGTTGGGGATGGGAATAGAGATGTTTCAGAAATGTTTAACTTTTCTAGGTATCGCATTATTGGACAATGTTAGAAAACTCAGATTTTGACAGGACAGTAAATCTGTTTCCTACCCAGTTGCAGCTTGCTTGCAGAAATCAGGCCTTTTTGCAGATCTGCCCGACAGAATGC